ATTGTTAAAATTCCTCCATACGAATAGTTAAAACCAACCATTATGTTGATGTGGACACCATCTTTACTATTTAAGAAACATTCATATTGTCGGTTGAACCGTCTTGACTCCAAAATAATCTGTCTTGTAAAGTAATCACTTTGTTTCCAGGCTACGTAGAACACAATAATGATTTTATTTCCAGGCTCCATCTACAAAATCATATTGTTTCCAGGCTCGAGACTCTAATTAGAACTTGCGACTCTCTGGGGCTATCCCAAGGCTATCCTTCAAATTAGCATATGTTTGTTATTGGTTGATCACTGCAAAATAGCTCTCAGCTGAAGATTGAAGAATCCAACGTTGGTGGACGTGTAGATTCGCCGACAGCATGTCAAAATTTCATCATCTCATGCAGATCATGTTGACACAAATAATGGTTCAGCAAGAAATGGTTGAGACAAGTCGTACCTGTTAAGGCGCAAGACTTTTTGTAGGATGCCCTAATCAGTGTATTTGGTTAGGAACTCTTTGGGAAAAAGGGTCTATTTTAACTTGAACTTTACCCGGCGTGTCTATTTCTTCCCGAACTTTGTATTAGTGCATATTCCATACTGAACTTAGAAAAAATTAAAAATATTATCCAAACTTTACATACCGTGCCTTTTCATTCCCGAACTTTATATTTGTGCATATTACATGCTAAATTAAACAAAATTTCCAAAATACTACATGAACTCTTAAACTCGTGCTTATATATATTGACTGTCAAATGTTATAGTCATATGTTAATTTATCAAAATTACGTCATTTTTGATAAATTATGTAACTTAAAAATTTGAAAACGATACATGAACTCTCAAATTTGTCCTTATATATATTAATCGTTTTCATTCGTTAAATTATCAAATGCGTCCTTTGGATAAATTCTGTAAAAACAAAATTACCTTTTGGGAGATTCCAACTCTCACACAGGTGGGTAAGTATAAAGTAACTATTTGAACTTTTAATAATAAATAATTTAAACTTATAAAATAATGCTTTTAAACTTAACTTTAAGAATATAAATAGTTATAGATTTATTTGATAAAAATAAAACAACAAAAATTTGATAACATTTATTTGATTAAGCTAAGAATTATATATAAGTTAATATTTAGACGATTTATACAAGAAAGTTATTTTTGTTTATCGGCTAATAGGCATTTACTTGTCCACCAGTATGACGTCGTTTTGATATATTAATGAATGACATACACCTTTGAAGGTCAATATATGTATATATATATATATATATATTCGATTTTTAGAGTTCATGTAGTATTTTAAAATACTACATGAAGGTCAATATATATATATATATCAGATATATCTGACGGAGATGCCAGATTGATGTGGCAGAGAAGCTCGAGAACAATGAAATCGTAGAGAAAATGTACGGCTGCGGCAGAGCGAATGCTGAGACACCGGATAATGGTGGCAGGTACAACATAAATTTCTTGTCAAATGATGCAACTGATGAATCTGCCGCTCAGCTTCTTCTTTTTTGTCTTCTATACCAGCTTCATCCACATTTTCACAAACTAATCTTCTTTTTGCAACAATAAAGAAGATAAAGAAAAGAGATGCATTCACCTCGCTAAAAATTATTCGTCGTAAACGTCGTGTAATTCGAAAATGTGGATGAATAATTTTACAGTTACATAAAAAAACGTGTATTCAGTTCACTTAACCTAACTATTTTCGTTGTAAAGACGTTGTAAAGCATATATGATAGAGTTGTAAAATCCTAGTAAAACTTATCCTTCTAAATTTGTTGTTACACCTTCACCAACCAAGCTAAAACATTTCTTATATATATGTCATTCCTCAATGCTAACAACACACAAACAAATACAAAGAAAAAAAATCAAGAAAAAAACATTACGACGGCTTATGTATCGATTATTCAAGAAATTGAAAAGCGTGCGTGATCAGCAGAACAGTTCTTATCAACTCCGCATAGTTTTTCCTCGACAATTCAACAAAATAGCTATGTGGATTTGATAAAACTGTTTCAATGACTGTGCACTCCCTTTAGATTTTTAGAAGAAATCCAATCAAGGAAACTTTTTTTTAATACTTATTCATTCGTTGTAATGTCGTCGTAAATTTACAACTGCATTACGACGAAACATGTTAGGTGAAAACGATTTTAAATATGTGGTTCACCTAATTTAATTCGTTGTAAATACAATGTAACCAAGATGATAGGGACATGAAAAATCATAGTAAATCCATTCCTTGTAAATACGCTGTAAAACTTTCACCTACCAAACTCAAATTTTTTTCTATATATTGGAGCATTCTCATTCCATACCAACACACAAACAAACAAACAAAAAAACTAAAAAAATGTCTGATGGAAGAAATATTTTCGAATTGTGGAGTTAGAGGTATACGCATAAAGATTTCGACGGTAGAGTGACGAATGCATTCCCTGGTGGGTTAGAGACATTCATGAACCAGGCAGGTTGTACACCTCTCACGCAAGAAAGCGGTAAGATATTATGTGTTTGTAGAGTGCAGGAGTTCAAAATTTTCCCGTACATTGTTTGGAAACATTTAGTACAGTGAAGTTTTAAACTACAATACTATATTTGGTTTCAATATCGAAGGGTTGTGGAGAAAATGAAGCTAGTAGTAGTAATAATAATTTTCAGAATGCCGGTAATAATGAGAAACCTAATAATTTGGATAACGAATATAATTAGGCTGAACAGATGGTAGATCATGATAGGGTTCACGACAATAGCTGATGAAACTGGAAATGCTAAAGTACCTAACCTGGATGCAAAATTTTTTTATGAAATGCTAGATTCTGCAAATCAACCAATCTACGCTAGTTGTAGAGAAGGTCACTCTAAATTGTCTCTAGCAGCTAGCATGATGGATATTAAAACGGATCATAATTTACCTGAGAATTGCATGGATGCATGGGCCGGATTGTTTAAAGAGTATTTTCCAGAAGACAACGTGTAAGCTGAATCTTATTTTGAGATTCAGAAATTGGTTTAGAGTTTTGGGTTGCCATCGGAGATGATATATATTAAAACGGATCATAATTTACCTGAGAATTGCATGGATGCATGGGCCGGATTGTTTAAAGAGTATTTTCCAGAAGACAACGTGTAAGCTGAATCTTATTTTGAGATTCAGAAATTGGTTTAGAGTTTTGGGTTGCCATCGGAGATGATATATATTTGCATCGACAACTGCAAGATCTGCTGGAAAGACGATGAGAACCTAGAAGTGTGTCGATTCTACAAGAAACCACAATTCAAACCGCAAGGACATGGAATGAATAAGGTACAGTATCAGAGGATGTGGTACTTACCAATTATAGAATGCTGAAAAGATTATATTAATCTCAGAGGACTGCCGGAGAGATGAGGTGGCATGGTGAAAACTTATGTGCACTTTACGAAGAGTTTACCATAACGTGGAATTTACGACAAAGCCCTTCCTTATCTTTTACAACGACAATTTTTCCTTGTAAGTTATGTGTAATTTACGACGAACAGTCCATTACGACGGGTGTTTAACAACGAAACAGGTTTCCTTGTTAATTAGTCGTAACTCTCATAGTACGACGAATTAACAAGGAAAACAGCCCTCGTAAAAAAATGTTTTCTTGTAGTGTCAATTATAATATCTTCTGATATCTTATCTTTTTGTTTGAAACAAAATAAATATTTTAAAAAAAAAAATATTTTTCGAATGTTTTAAAATGATTTCTGAAAATTAATTAATTTAAAATCCAATTATCATAAGATATAATTAGAAATTAAAGTTAATGTGTTTGAATTTGAAAACAAAAATTAAAAAACTATATAATTTTCTAAAATTATATTTAATAATAAATACAATTTAAATTGATTAATTTTTGAAAATACATTATAAAATATTATGTTAGAAAAATGTTTATTTCTATTTCAAATAAAAATAATAAATATTATAATTAATTAGCTAAAATGACAACCATAAAATTTACCCAATGATAAAAGAAGTTATATTATGGTAAAAATTACTTAAAATTTTGATAGTGATATGAGCAAAAGATACCATATAAATAAAACATACACCATTCTTAAATTTAATTCACAAAAGATGAAAAACACCCGCATGGTTAGAGATAGCAAACAAGTTGTCCTATCACGTCTCGTACTGCAATGGTCTCGTCTTCAAATGAATCACGACTGGTCAGGTCCGCACGGGCCGTGGTCCTCGAAATGGCTGATCAAACCTGCCCCACCAAATATGTAGGATTTTGTGGGTTGATCTATGGGATATGAGATATCACACGTTCATATGTGTTCTGGAGGCGGCGTGAAGACCATAACCACCATCAGAGCTCCACTTTTTTTATCGCCGGAGGTCCTACGGTTCCATCGGTGGAAAAAGAACTGAATCGCCTTTTCATTCCCTCTCTCTTATTTTTCTTTTCAGGTGTAAATTGAAATGAAGAAGTGATATTTGCAGGTCTTTGTTCTTCTGCATGATCCGCTTCGGCCCATCCCATTTAAGGTTCATCCTACAAAAAGTCCATCTCGCAAGAACATTTCTTGTGAGTCCCATAATATTTATGGGCCTACAATATCAAACTCTAATATCACCCCCACTATTAGCCTTTGCGGGCTAGGTCTCTAGTCTAAGTCCAACATTACCATCTCTATGCACGACTGTTTGGTTGAAAATTAATATTATATAATATATGTATATATTACAACAAAATTAACAAGATAGAGTTTTTCACAGACGAAAATTCTCTTATACAACTTCAATACAGATAATATATAAAAAGAGAAGACTTTGAAGATCCACATTATAATATATGTTACTATACTTTGCTCGGGCAGTCATTCATGACTGCAAACATTACTGGCCTTACCTATCGTATATGAACATTGAGAAAATGACTTATAAGATCTTATAGAGCAAACTGAGAAATTTAAGTGGAAGTGGATCCATCTTTTCCTAAATCATATCGCCAAGGCTGCAAACTGGGACTCGGGATCCTGTGTGGCGGGTGGGCGGTAGTTGTTGTATCGGTTCTGCTGGATTTGTTTCTGATTCTGTTGTGGTTGTTGTTGGTGCTTTCGAAACTTCAGATTTCCTATCTCTCTTTCAAGGAATTGTTGCTCGACTGTATAAAGCACCCAAAATTACAGTTTAATTTACAAGAAAAAAGATTAAATATATTTTCGGATTGTTTAATGAGAAACTTTATTTGTGGTTGAAGATTATTTACCATGTTTAAGCTTTTGGATTTCTGCTAAACTATCCAGACGTTGTTTTAAAGCTCTATTTTCCATGCTAAGCATGACCAGCTGTTGATCCAAGTAGTGAATGGCAGATGACATTTCACATCCTTGAGCCTGTTGGAAAAAAAAAATCATCATGTATAATGTACAGAACGTTTACTAAGAACAAAACTTAGGTTCACTTTTTAAGGTGAATCTTTAAATTCATCTCACTTTTAATAATCAATAATGATGTCACTTGGACTAAAGAACAAAAAAATTAAATATTAAAAAAAATAATTAAAAAATAATAATAACGCCAATTTTAATGACAGTAAATTCTAAATAACAATAACCCTAAACGAAAATCCTAGATCCTAAACCCAAATCTTATATTCTAAAATCCAAATCTAGACCCTAAACCCAAACCATATACTTTAAAGCTAACTTTATACCCTAAAACCCAAACCTAGACCTTAAACACAAACTCTATACCCTAAAACCAAACCCTAGACCCTACACTCTAAACTTAAGATCTAAACCCTAAATCCTAAATCCAAACTTTAGACGCTGAATTAAAACTCTAGAGTCTAAACCCAAACTCTAGACTGTAAATCATGAACCCAAACCATAAATTTTAATTTCAAACCCTAAATCGTAACCTTAAATTCTAAAGGAACAATATCAACATTCATTTAAACATTTAGTGTAAAGAATTTGGGTTTAGGATTTACAGTTTAGGATTTGAATTTGAGGTATAGGGTTTGGGTTTAGGATATAGGATTTGAATTTGAGGTATATTGTTTGGATTTAGGATATAGGATTTAAATTCAGGATCTAAGGTTTGAGTATAGAATTTAGGATTTAGGGTTTAGGGTTTATAATTTAAGATCTAGGGTTTGGGTTTACATTCTAGGGTTTAGATTTTAGGGTACAAGGTTTGTACTTAGGGAATAAAGTTTGGGTATAGGGTCTAGGTTTTGATTTTAGGGTATACGATTTGGGTTTAGGGTTTTAGGTTACAGTTTGGATTTAGGGTTTAGCTAGCAACTTTATAAAATTGACATTACTATTTTTGTTAGCTATTTTAAAATTTTAAAAATATTTAGTAATTTTTATGTATGACATTATGATTGATTATTAGAGGTAAAGTAAATTTAAAGGTTCACGCTAGGTTTTGTGAGTTTACTAATGTTCATAAAATTAAAGAATATGAGAAACATGTTCATTTTCAAATCTTACTTGTAGCACTTGGATGGTTCTTTCCAAATCTGATATGTACTCAAGCCTCCTTAGACGTGCCCGGTGAGCATTTTGGCTGTAGTTTAAGTGAGTACAAGCAGTCAAACGTTTAATTCCAGCCAATTTTGTTTTATAACCAGTAACAAGAAAAAAAGCACGCAGATAACTTTGAGGTAAATACAATATATGCCTACTTGTACTAAGTTATAGGAAGATTAGTATTAGAATAAGACCCCTTACTGTTTGATACGTTTAGAGTCAGTTTTTGATCCAGAACCGTCTGGTTTTGTGAAAGAGCCTTCTTTCATTTTACTTATTTGTGTTTCAGTTGATTTCGAGGCAGAGGTACCTACTCTATTAACAGCTCCCCATGACACATGTGTTTGGAAATTAGTTCCATTTTTGTTAGAAACCCCCCATCCCAATTTGCCATGGTTGTCGTAAGAGTTAGGCTGCCACAAATCATCATGCCGGTTAATGTTCTGGACTAGGCAAGATGGCCCAGAAAAATTACTATTCAGAAGATCATCTTCTTTAAAAGGCATTAAAGATGAGTTTAAGTAGGCAGATGTGTCACTAGCTGAACGCCTGTGACCTCTGTTGATCTTAGGTGACGCTGGCTCGCTTAGGAGATCATCGAGCCAAGCTGGTTGCTCATCTATGAGAAGATTATTTAAAGAAGCACTGTGGTGGTGCATATTACTGGGAGGAGAAATACTATTCTCCCTGCTCTTTTGGGAAGCTTGGGATTGACTTCCAATAGATCCAAAATTTCCTACATTGGATAACCTGCTTGAACCTTCCATTCTTCAAAACCTAGAAGGTTGGAGAATTACGTGTATTGAAAAAAACAAAGAATATCTCAATCGTCGACGAACAAGTAAAGAAATAATTATTTTAATCTTTCTCCCATTCTTGAATGAAAATTCTTCCGACATACCTGAAAGGACAAGGCTTAGGAGACGTGTAGTACCAAACCTCCGGCGTGGAGGAAAGTGGTATCTCCCGCGATGTAATTACCTCCTGTGTTAGTGCCGATTATCCCTTCTTTCTTAGAATGCGAAAATACAATGAACTATCTCCCAATCGCTAAATAGAGAGAGATGCCTGATCAAAACAATCCATGTTGATGGTTTCCATAGCGTGCTTTTCGTCAAAACAATCGTTCTTTTTCTTTTCCTTATTTAGTTTACTACTTTGTTTCTTGTTGTTGTCATGTCCAAAAATAGCATTCTTCACCATTCCTTCATGACGTACGGTACACAATACTAGTTATAATTCATTCATGTATATTTTATCATACTAGGTGATTTTCTGTAGGGCTATTTTCCATAATAGCATTTTTGAAGTTTTTATTTCAAAAATAACGTAGAAAGGGGAAAGTCACAGAAATAACTTTCATTAATAGATGAAATGTCTATAGTGCCCTTATTTTATTTTTAGTAGAACAACTGAAAAAACAAATCACAAACTTCTCTTCTCTTCGACGATCACAAACGATGGTTCCGATTCTCTTCCATCGACTCCAATCTCATTCAATCATCTCCGGTGAAAAAGACTGATATCATCTCCGACGAAGCGCATGAAGATTCGAGTCTCAACGACGCTATTTCGGTATAATTCCTCTTCTTAGGGTTTTCTAACTGAAATTTTGGGATTTGAGTTTCGTATAATAGATTTGAGTTCTTCATATAATAAATTTGAGTTTCTTTTGTTGTTCTTAGCTCAAAATTCCAAAGAAGAATCTTAGGAAAGTTTCATTCCCAAAGAGTTCGGGACCTTTCATTTTGGTAAGCATTTTGAATCTTTGATGTTTTGAGCTCTTTTTGTTGCTAATTTGTCCAATATGATATTGCTTTAAACCTGTATGGTGTGTGATGGTGTTTTAGTTATCTTGTTTCTCTAAAAGTTTTGATTTTTCCTAGTTAAGAACACACACAAAAGTTATAGTTTTTTCTTGTTTCTGTTAATCACTAGTGTATTCTGTTGACTCGTTAGACTCCTAAAGACAAAGCTCTCTTGCATTTGTTGTCCAGCATTTGAAAGTTCCTTGGAATTTGGGTGATATTATACAGTCTGAAAACTGTGTGTGAAATGAGCAACAAGAGTTTGTTTTGTGTTCTTATAGATTATCATTGTTACATTAGCATCATATAAACTATAAACTATTGTTTTCTTAAGTGTTTTTGAGTACACACAAGCTAAGCTTCTGCGATGATTCCATTTACTCTCTTTCTTCTATTAGCTACGCAAATTTAACTTTTTTCTATTTCTGCTATGCAAAGTGGGACTGTGATGAGTTTGCTTGTGAAAACTTGTATGTTTTTTTTTTTTTTTAGTTTCTGGAAAGAGTTTCATAGTTTCACGATAGCCTTCCAAAAATTTTGATACTAGAAAATTTGAATTTTTTTTTGGCTTGGTGACGCAAGACATGAACATCATGGGAGATTCAATACCTGAGTTACTAGCTCTGCTTGAACTCAAGCATCCTATTGGATGAGAGCCAAAACCAAAAGTGACAATAAACCAATACTCGACCGCTGCTTATATCAAGACTGATCCGCCTATTATCAAGTCATAAGAGTTTGACACAACAAGTATGCTTGTTTTACATTTTTTGGAGTTTTTAATTTATTTAGGAAGCAATTGTAAATATTCAGGAATGTCTTCGTGATTGTTGCAGCAAGCATGTCATGATTTGTTCTAATTGTTGAAATTCATTCCTAACTCTTACAGGAAAATACACAGGTTGTGTATAACACACCTGCCTCTCCAAACTCTTCACTTAAGCTTGATGAAAATAATAATGCTACTGTGGTAAAAAAATTATATTTAATTTTTTTGTAGAATATTTTTCTATTTAACTCACTCTTGCAATTTCCTTTTTTCTTATAGGCTGAGACCCAGATGGGGCTCAATTTTTCTCCCTTAATGCGACACAACAGGTATATGCTTGTTTTTCTTTTACATTTGGAGTTTTTCAAGTAGTGTAGGAAATTTTTTTACATACTCATGACTTCCATCCTGATTTTCGCAGAATGAGACAAAGCCATCATCGAATGAGATGCCATACGAAGAAGAAGACAATGTGGTAATATTTATTCTGAAAGGTGTAGTTGAATGTGTATTGGAAGAAAAATTCTCTTGGAATTTTATGTCATTGTGAACATGTTGTTACATGATACTACATAACCTATGAATGATATCATTTCCACATACATTTCAGAGACAATGCCCTTTGTCAACAAACACAACCTCTAACTAAGACAAGTCCTATATATTTTTTAGAAACAAAGAAGGTAGGCCTCGAGTTTAGTTAATCTTTAATTATTATTCGACCAATATCAAACAGCTGATGTTACTAAATCTACATTTTCGTAGGCTGAAGAAAGTAGGCTTCCAACTCTCTTTCGTACTGTTTGTAGCTGAAGAGAAATACTGTTACTTGAGAAGTTGTTCTGGTAAAGACAAATCTCTATTGCATTTGTTGGACCTCAAATTAAAGGCTGCTAAATTTTGGGAACACATGATTTTGAGGTAATGTACCTTAGATTGTCTTCTTTTCTAGATAATGTTTATTCTGTTGATTATGTGGTGGTATTTTATCTCATATCTCATTGTTCATGAGTGTAACTGAGATGAGTTTGCTTGTGCAACTTTGTGGGGGGGGGGGGGTTAATTTTAGGGAGGTGTTTCAAAATTTCAGGATAGCATTCCATAAAATCTGATACTAGAAAATTTGAACTTTTTTTTCTTGGTTACACAAGACAACAACATGATGGAAGATTCAGTACCTAAATTACTAGCACTGCCTGATCTTAAGTATCCTATAATATCAGAGCGAAAGCTAATAGTGACAATAAACCAATGTTCGAGCGCTGCTTATATCACAACTGTCTCGGGTATTTTCAAGCCAGAAGAGTTAGACAGAAACCAAAGGATGTTTTCTTCATTTAGATTGTTATTGAAGAACTTTCAGGATGTCTTGAAGCATTCGGTAATTATATCAAGAAAATGCTAAAATGTGTTATAGTTTATGGTACTTTTTGGATGGGTTTTCAGAAAATAAAATAAGTAAGCATACTGATAAGGAGTTGTTAAGTCCTTAAGCAAATCAAAATAGTATTTTAGATGTCAATCCAAGTTCTAAGTGTTTTGATTCAAAGAGATTACAAGCTATGCTTAATCTAAATGCAATCAGTCTAGAGGATGTGAAATTATTTAAAAATAATAGAAAATGCAACAAGTAACAAGCTTTCTCTCAATTAGTGAAGAATAGACTCATAGGAGTAGGTACATGGTTTAGGTGATCAAGATTCAATCCTAGGTAGTAAACTTTCAATCAAGATGTATTCCTTAAGTCTAAACAACTCAGCTAAGCAAGTTCTAGGTCTAGGTAAGTGCTCATTTGCTTTCATTAATCTAACACAAATGGTCATTGGCTTAATCAATTCAAACAATCATTAAGAACAAGTTTAATAACTATTTAAAACTCCTTAGATACAAATGGTCATTGGCTAGGTGGTTTTAAAGCTAGAAGAGTTGGTTCAGACATTTAAACAAACACCTTGTGGGCAGAAAATGGCTAATGATCATGATTAAAGAGGCCAAGAATAATCAAGCATTAAAATCACTCAACTAACAAGGAAACACCTAGATCTAACACCTAACACCTTAGATCTACACTTGATCACCCTTACCAACCTATCCCATGAATCTAAAATGGATCTACTCACTAATCCACATGATTAACTCAACAACAATGGTTGATTGTTGGTTAAACATGATTAGAGATCAAGATTACTCAACAAACTTAAGAAAATAAGATGAAAAGAAGATAAAGTTATGATCTTTCACCAAATAGTACTTAGTTTCAGAGAGAAAATAAAAGATAATCCCTCAAATTAGGGTCTAAAACATATTTATAGGGTTCTTAAAAACCTAATGGGATTAACCAACAAGCTGAACTGGCTAAAAAAGAAACATAAGATTCGTTAGATGAATAGTGCTGGAGCAGGTGTCATGGATCGCTGTGCTACCCCGCTCCAGAATGCGCTCAAGGTGGAACAGGGGTCATGGGTCGCTCTGATACACCCGCTCTGGCACTTCGAGCATATAACCTCGCGAATGTGTCCTGTCCAAAGCCGGGTGTCTTGGTTTCTCCGATGGGCCGCTCTTGAGAGTGCACAATGTGGAGCGGCCCCTCCTGGTTGCTGCATAGGACCCGCTCTGATGCACGGTCAATGTGGAGCGGTGTGCTTCCCCCCGCTGTCAGATACCCCTTCCGATACTTGAGTCGCAAGATGATCATTTTGAGGTTTTCGTGAACCAAAATGACTTCAAACTCTCTCATAAGCTCCTTGAGCTACTCCAAAACCTTATAGAGACTAATGCAAATGGATATGCAACCTAATGATGTTTTTATGCAATCCTAGACACCAAAATAGACAAGAAATGAATGATTAATTCAATGAAAATCACAAGACTTCAACTCCCCCAAACTAGTCTTTTACTTGTCCTCAAGTGAACTTTTAAAGACTACAAGGAGAAGAGGTTTGAAAGTGGGAGCTCATAGCCAAAAGAAACATTTCCTAGTACTCAACTTAACATCCTAAGAAAAACATAGCAAATAGCATTAGCATGCTCTCTTATTATACTCTAGCTTCTCAAGGCCTATCAAAACACTCTTATGTCTTTAAGCAAGATGCATAACTCAAGGTGAAGTCTCACAAATGGGCACATGATAGGGGGTTCATATGCATTTTTATGGTGACTTACTCTCAAAAATAGTAGCTAGATCATTATG